TGTGAATATGCTTCAAAAGTTGTTTTTGTCAATATCTTTATTGTTTGCTACTCGATTTTGATAATTCTTGCATCAATTCATATTAGAAAAATATAAACAATTCAAAAAAATCCCGTCCAACATTGTACTACTCTTATTTTTTTTTAATATATATTGAAAAATGTTTGATATGGCGGTATATGTTATGCAGCTTACAGAGGAAAATTTTTGTTTTTTATATGTAATATATATTTGATTATTTTAGAAAATCTATCTACTCATTTTTAATGATTTATATACCAAAATATTCTAGAATATGTGTATTTTTCAAAAAAAGTACCTGTGCAACATTGTACCTATTCGTTAAATTTATATTTAAATTTATATTTAAATAAATATTATTAGTATCCACGAACAGAGAATATAACAGCCACAAATGCCTGCAAAAGACTTCGATGCATTTGTGAATATGCTTCAAAAGTTGTTTTTGTCAATATCTTTATTGTTTGCTACTCGATTTTGATAATTCTTGCATCAATTCATATTAGAAAAATATAAACAATTCAAAAAAATACCGTCCAACATTGTACTACTCTTATTTTTTTTTAATATATATTGAAAAATGTTTGATATGGCGGTATATGTTATGCAGCTTACAGAGGAAAATTTTTGTTTTTTATATGTAATATATATTTGATTATTTTAGAAAATCTATCTACTCATTTTTAATGATTTATATACCAAAATATTCTAGAATATGTGTATTTTTCAAAAAAGTACCTTGCAACATTGTACCTATTCGTTAAATTTATATTTAAATTTATATTTAAATAAATATTATTAGTATCCACTAACAGAGAATATAACAGCCACAAATGCCTGCAAAAGACTTCGATGCATTTGTGAATATGCTTCAAAAGTTGTTTTTGTCAATATCTTTATTGTTTGCTACTCGATTTTGATAATTCTTGCATCAATTCATATTAGAAAAATATAAACAATTCAAAAAAATACCGTCCAACATTGTACTACTCTTATTTTTTTTTAATATATATTGAAAAATGTTTGATATGGCGGTATATCTTATGCAGCTTACAGAAGAAAATTTTTGTTTTTTATATGTAATATATATTTGATTATTTTAGAAAATCTATCTACTCATTTTTAATGATTTATATACCAAAATATTCTAGAATATGTGTATTTTTCAAAAAAGTACCTTGCAACATTGTACCTATTCGTTAAATTTATATTATTAATATAAATATTATTAGTATCCACTAACAGAGAATATAACAGCCACAAATGCCTGCAAAAGACTTCGATGCATTTGTGAATATGCTTCAAAAGTTGTTTTTGTCAATATCTTTATTGTTTGCTACTCGATTTTGATAATTCTTGCATCAATTCATATTAGAAAAATATAAACAATTCAAGAAAATACCGTCCAACATTGTACTACTCTTATTTTTTTTTAATATATATTGAAAAATGTTTGATATGGCGGTATATGTTATGCAGCTTACAGAAGAAAATTTTTGTTTTTTATATGTAATATATATTTGATTATTTTAGAAAATCTATCTACTCATTTTTAATGATTTTTATACCAAAATATTCTAGAATATGTGTATTTTTCAAAAAAGTACCGTGCAACATTGTACCAGTTCGTAAAATTTATAATTAGTAGAATATTTTTAGTATCCCCTAACAGAGAATATAACAGCCAACAAATGCCTGCAAAAGACTTCGATGCATTTGTGAATATGCTTCAAAAGTTGTTTTTGTCAATATCTTTATTGTTTGCTACTCGATTTTGATAATTCTTGCATCAATTCATATTAGAAAAATATAAACAATTCAAAAAAATACCGTCCAGCATTGTACTACTCTTATTTTTTTTTAATATATATTGAAAAATGTTTGATATGGCGGTATATGTTATGCAGCTTACAGAAGAAAATGTTTGTTTTTTATATGTAATATATATTTGATTATTTTAGAAAATCTATCTACTCATTTTTAATGATTTATACACCAAAATATTCTAGAATCTGTGTATTTTTCAAAAAAGTACCGTGCAATATTGTACCAGTTCGTAAAATTTATAATTAATAGAATATTATTAGTATCCACGAACAGAGAATATAACAGCCACAAATGCCTGCAAAAGACTTCGATGCATTTGTGAATATGCTTCAAAAGTTGTTTTTATCAATATCTTTATTGTTTGCTACTCGATTTTGATAATTCTTGCATCAATTCATATTAGAAAAATATAAACAATTCAAGAAAATACCGTCCAACATTGTACTACTCTTATTTTTTTTTAATATATATTGAAAAATGTTTGATATGGCGGTATATCTTATGCAGCTTACAGAAGAAAATTTTTGTTTTTTATATGTAATATATATTTGATTATTTTAGAAAATCTATCTACTCATTTTTAATGATTTATATACCAAAATATTCTAGAATATGTGTATTTTTCAAAAAAGTACCGTGCAACATTGTACCAGTTCGTAAAATTTATAATTAATAGAATATTTTTAGTATCCCCTAACAGAGAATATAACAGCCACAAATGCCTGCAAAAGACTTCGATGCATTTGTGAATATGCTTCAAAAGTTGTTTTTGTCAATATCTTTATTGTTTGCTACTCGATTTTGATAATTCTTGCATGAATTCATATTAGAAAAATATAAACAATTCAAAAAAATACCGTGCAACATTGTACTACTCTTATTTTTTTTTAATATATATTGAAAAATGTTTGATATGGCGGTATATGTTATGCAGCTTACAGAAGAAAATGTTTGTTTTTTATATGTAATATATATTTGGTCATTTTAGAAAATCTATCTTCTCATTTTTAATGATTTATATACCAAAATATTCTAGAATATGTGTATTTTTCAAAAAAGTACCTTGCAACATTGTACCTATTCGTTAAATTTATATTTAAATTTATATTTAAATAAATGTTATTAGTATCCACGAACAGAGAATATAACAGCCACAAATGCCTGCAAAAGACTTCGATGCATTTGTGAATATGCTTCAAAAGTTGTTTTTGTCAATATCTTTATTGTTGCTACTCGATTTTGATAATTCTTACATCAATTCATATTAGAAAAATATAAACAATTCAAGAAAATACCGTCCAACATTGTACTACTCTTATTTTTTTTTAATATATATTGAAAAATGTTTGATATGGCGGTATATGTTATGCAGCTTACAGAGGAAAATTTTGGTTTTTTATATGTAATATATATTTGATTATTTTAGAAAATCTATCTACTCATTTTTAATGATTTATATACCAAAATATTCTAGAATATGTGTATTTTTCAAAAAAGTACCGTGCAACATTGTACCAGTTCGTAAAATTTATAATTAATAGAATATTTTTAGTATCCCCTAACAGAGAATATAACAGCCACAAATGCCTGCAAAAGACTTCGATGCATTTGTGAATATGCTTCAAAAGTTGTTTTTGTCAATATCTTTATTGTTTGCTACTCGATTTTGATAATTCTTGCATCAATTCATATTAGAAAAATATAAACAATTCAAAAAAATACCGTCCAACATTGTACTACTCTTATTTTTTTTTAATATATATTGAAAAATGTTTGATATGGCGGTATATGTTATGCAGCTTACAGAAGAAAATTTTTGTTTTTTATATGTAATATATATTTGATTATTTTAGAAAATCTATCTACTCATTTTTAATGATTTATATACCAAAATATTCTAGAATATGTGTATTTTTCAAAAAAGTACCTTGCAACATTGTACCTATTCGTTAAATTTATACTTAAATTTATATTTAAATAAATATTATTAGTATCCACTAACAGAGAATATAACAGCCACAAATGCCTGCAAAAGACTTCGATGCATTTGTGAATATGCTTCAAAAGTTGTTTTTGTCAATATCTTTATTGTTTGCTATTTTTCAAAAAAGTACCGTGCAACATTGTACCAGTTCGTAAAGTTTATAATTAATAGAATATTATTAGTATCCCCTAGCAGAGAATATAACAGCCAACAATTGCCTGTAAAAGACTTCAATGCATTTGTGAATATGTATTGTGTCAACCTGATTTTCTAATGCCCTCCGTGGCACGGTGGCAAGCCCGGAATTCTCGCCGGTATTGGGATTTGTTCTTGGCATCAGTAATCCACACTGACATCAACAAAAAAAATTCTCGTGCCATGTATTTGTATAAACAAAATTTAGTTAAATATAAACTGTTAATCGCGTTGGTCATATTTACTTCCTAGTCCATTTTAGTCTTAGTTGTTTGTCGAATACCAGAACACACTTCTCCCGTTCGTACTACCCCTTTAGCAACTTATTTTTTAAGCATGGTAAACATAACAACAATTACAATATTCTTTTATTAGGTGCTTCTTATTTTATTTCAACTAATCTTTAATTAGATACAAAAAAATTATAATTATTTTTTCATAATCTAACAGTTTATATATAAACAAATGGCGCCCAACGGTGTTTCTTTTGAGGTACCCATACTCGGAACCAGTTTAGTGTAAGGTATTGACTTCAGGTGTTTGTTTTGTTTTGATTGATTGTATGTGATCCGAATGAATGTGACGTGTATGAGTGAGGGGGGATTTTGAGTGAGATCTGCTAATGTGTTGAATAGTTTACAACCAAGAGCAGCATTAGAGCAGCTTTGTTTTGAGGACCGATAATGACTTTAGGATAGGGTGTTAGTGTGTACATATAGGAATCGAATTAATATTAGTTGGACAGTGGGTCTTAAGCAGACAAATAGCTAGATGTACGTACAGTTATTTAATAATTTTAGGTACTATCTGAATCCAAAGTACCACCTCAAAAGCAAAACCCTATTATTACATAATATCAAGTAATTTTTTTTATTTTTCTTTAACTCCGATAGTTAACAAGTTCTTGCTAGATAGAATAGTTTTACCTGAATTCAATTTTTATAATTTTTTTGTGAATTGTTATATTAATTAGAAATAGATCAGATAAGGATCACAGGTGTAACAAATATGGAGCCCACATATAATGAAGTCGAGGTAGATGAAGGTGCTAGCAGCCAGGTAAGAGGTGCTAGACCTAAAACTAAGAGACGTCCCTAACAGGAAAGTTAGCTCAGAAGCCAGAAATAAAATCAGACGAGAAATATGCACGCCAAAGATCTTTTAGTTTCGATAGTAAACTCGAACATTTAACTCTCGATAAGGTTACTGACTCCGAGAGTCCGACCGAGATCGAAACCAGATCGAAAGACAGAGAAACTGCAAGCAAAGGTAACAAAGAATTACCTGGCTCGTCAATGAATGAAAAGTTGGTTAGGCAATTTGCAGGTATGATGAGACAACAACAAGATTTCTTTACAGATTGTATTCAGTCTCTGAGAGTAGAAGTTGGGGCTCTGAATAATAGAATGAAAGAAGTGGAGGAGAAACCTTTAAGTACAAGTCCCCAACATGCTACAAATGTGAATGTGGATCTTGAGAAGCCATTTAGAAGGAACGTGGATTTAGAAAGATGGCACATCAAATTTAATGGCTCCAACCGAGATATGACGGTGGAAAGCTTTTTATTTCGCGTCGAGAGAATGCGTGAGCAGTATAGTGTGTCATATCATCAGCTGTTTACCGAATTCCATTGTCTGCTGTCAGATGATGCTCTGAAATAGTTCTGGCAGTTATTGGAACACCAAGAAAGTAATCGGTATTTCGATTGTTTTCAATTAAAACCAGAGTTATTAGCTCAGTTTAAATCAGCAGAAAGTGATTATGATATAATCAGAAGGATCATGGAGCGGAAACAACAACCTAATGAAGATTTTGAGCGATTCTACAAAGACATCCATGACTTAACTTTCAGGCTGAAAAGGAAAATACTGGAGCCAGATCTGGCCGCTATTATCAAGAACAATTTCAGAGCAGGATTGGCTAGCCTGTTGTTTTCAGCTACTTTCAGCTGAAAAATTGCTAAGAGAAAAAAAGGGAGGAATCAACAGATCAGTGAGGTATGTCAGACAGAAACAGAGTATAGGGACCATAAAAATAACCCTAGATGGGGGGTAGAAGTAATAGGTTTGGAACATCGTGAGAAAGGCATGGATATGTCAAAATTCCGAACTGATCCGGAATCGGAGAGATTGACCCGGTATAGAAGTGGGGTAGAGAAGGATGGTAATAACGATGTGGAAAAAAGTAGGCAAGATGGAGGTGCTCTTTGTCCATTACCTTTCCACTTAAATTTTATGCTATTCGTGCGGTATGCCCGTAGACTTTTATACAGTTAGGCAAGGTTCTGACCAAAAAACCATGTGTAAGTCACATTTTCATGATATGACGTGCTTTTTGTGCAACAAGAACTCATCCTATTGTAGATATGATGGTAAAGAGGAAAACGGTTCAAGGACATGGACGCCCGGGAGTCGATGTCCACAGAAGCCGAACCCGAGGTACAGATACAAGTAGGGAAAAGAGGTAAACATCACAGCGAGCACTATAGCAGTTACGAAAGAACAAGGGTACTTAAAACATTACATCAACACAATCTGGAATGTGAAGAGAACCGAGAAAGAATTTTTAATGTCGACGTATCAAACCAATGTAAAAGGAATAGGAAATTTAGAAAAATTTTAAAACTTAGGCAGAAAAGGCGTTTGGTTAAGACAAGTCTTAGTAAAATTGTAGGCACAATAGTTACATTAGATGGAGATAATAGAATTTATGTCAAAACTAAGGTTAATCAGGCAGAAGTGATGGCCTTATTAGACTCAGGAGCAATGGCCAACTGTATAGGAAAAGGAGCATTAGAGTTTCTACAAAACCAACCAAGCAACCAAGGAGAGTACTTTGAATGCGATAATAAAGAAAATTATTAAAAATTAAAATTTTGCGTTTTTTTTCAAATTCTCGTTCTTTTTTGATCATAAGGTAAATGTTTCTCAATAATTTTTTCGTAATAAACATTAATTCTACCGGCAGGCTGCTAATGCATCCATTTGATGTATATAATTCTTCTCAAGTCGAATAATTAGTATACAAGAACAAAAAAGAAAATGAAACATATGTTTTCTAAAATCATATATATCTTAATTTAATGTCATAAGCAATATGTTAACTTGGTAGAGTTGGGGGTGTATATGCCAAATGTCTTGCCTACGGGTTTCTTTCTTTCCTTGCACAAAGTAGTTAGTTTAATGCCCATATGATAGAAGCCTTCATGATTAGGTACAATAGACCGTCTAAAACAAAAACGGTCTGGTATGAAAAGGTTTTACAAGTAATAGGAGAAGTATGACGCACAACTTTTTACTCTTGCATCAACTAATTCCAGCGAAAAATTGAATTTCTGCAATTGAAAATAAACCATACAAGCAGGAATTAAAACTCCAAAATATATATACAACTACGATGGAGATGAGCTCATTACAGTTTGAAATACAAATTCTAAGCTTATCAATTAGATCATAATTATAAGCTAAAAACTCAATCTTTGTATTTAATAATATTTAATAATTTGCTTTTCAAATAAAAAAAATGTTCGTTATTTTTATAATTATTTCTTTATTTTAAATTTAATTCCTTTTTAAATGTGTTTTAATACTTAATTTATATTATTAGTCTTTATCTTTTATTCTTTTCTCATTATTAATATATGTGTTTGTGTGAGTGTATATAATAATAATTTTTTTTAATAACATTATTTAATAAACATTTTTTTTTGCTTCAGATTTACATGACATTTTTAGCAATTTTTTGTATTATTATTTGAGTACTTTTTTTTGTTTTTTATATATGTAACTTTTTTTAGTATTCTTAACTTCGCTTACAAACAAAAAATATTTCGTATATTTCGTTTATGTTATATTAAATGTGTACATATATATATTTATATGTATGTATATATATATGCATATGCATATAATTATATATATAACTTGTTAAGTTTCTTTCAAAATTCTTCAACGGATTTGTGAAGTTCTTTTTCTAATTAAGTTTCTCATCAATTTTTCGTTCGGAATTTATAAACTCAAAATATGTAAAATTATTTTAAATTTATATTTAATAATAATTTAAATAAATTTTCTGAACTTATTTAATATCTTAGCCATTTGTTATATTTATAGGTTTCTTATATGATTCTTTTACTGAATTTAATATATCATTTTTATGTAATAAAATAATTATGACTATTACTTTTTTTAATGTCAAATTAAGCTAAATTATTTTTGACATATTTATTATATTAAAAAATCTGACTGAAATACTCTATTAATTAAATATTAAATTTTATATGTAAAATCATAAAAAATCATATATATAAATATATGATTAAATATTCCATTATCAGTATTAGAAAAATTAATGTATTATCATTTTGAATTTTATTATATGCAGAATTTTTTCAAATTTTTAATATAACGTGTTTATAATTAATGAAAACTTTAACATTGTTGGGAGTTTTAATGTTATATATATAATGTTATATTATATAAACAAACAAATTTTATAAATTATTTTATAAAACATATTCTTACACTTGTTTATTTTTTTTAGTCTTATTTTTTACATACATACCTTACAATAAATGAATAAGAACGTAAATGTATATATATATATATTTATATATTATTTCTTTTATACATAACACTTAATTAAATTAATAAATAAATTTGTTGTTGTTTTTAATATATGAGATTCTTAATAATTAACATCAAAATACTTTTTACATAAATAAATTATTTTAATATATATACATTTATAAATATATTTCATTAAAAAGATTACTCAAAATGTAGCTTTGTTAACAATATATAAATACGAAAGTATTTGTGTAGAAATGTGTTGAATTATATGTTTTATTTTATTTTATTTTAAATTATTTTCACTTTCAATGCAAGTAAATATATTTTTATTTTTTTATTTCACAAATAGTCTCTATAAAACATTACTCAATACAAATTTAAACGAAAATTACAACAAATATGCCTTATATGGGATAATGGGATATATATAACATTTAACATTGATATAAAAATATGTTTGTATCGTTACTGTTTATGAATATATGTGAAACGCTATTTATGTAAGCATAATCAATAAAATATAATTAACATTAAATATTTATATGAAGTGTTTCTAACAGCAAATTTTTATATTCCGGATATTTCAGAACAGTGCTACAAAACTGTACTGTTCGTAACATTCAAACTTTTCTTATTAGATAATTAAACAACATAAACCAAAGCTTTTGTACATATACGAAATTGTTTATGAAGTATCAACAATAACGTATACTACAACAAATGGTGTAAACAATTATATTTTGTTTCGTTCCTTTTATGACAAAAAATAATTATTTGAAGACAAGCAGAAACTAAATTTTGTGTATAATAGAATTTTACAAGATTTTTATTTTATCTCCAGTCAAATATAAATTGTCAGAGCCTTATTATAGAAAATGAAAATACCAAAAAAAAATTGTTTTTTATTTAACCGATAAACTTAACCGAAGACTGCTGATATTGGATGTTTGTCACTAAAACAGCTGTATAGTCAGCTCATAGATTACCTTAGTTTAATTTGACTAGCCGCAAGCCACGCGGCTTGTAGGTCCAAATGATGCCAGATAAAGTAGCACATCTATGTAGATTTTGTAGTGTACGTTTTTGAAAATTTAAGGAGTTATTGAAGCCTTATTCTGAGACAAAGCCATTAGGTGTTCTTTGAAGATTTTTTGAAACTTGTGTTTAGACCAGAAGTTAATGGGAATTTAAACCCATTATGAATATTTAATTATATTTAAATTTCTTTAAAGATATCTCCTTTTCTATTCGTAATATATTATTTACCATAGATATATTAATTATTATTATTACGTTTTTTCAAAGACCACCAGAATAGTTAAGGTTAGAATTTTTCAAATAATTTGTTAAATGGAATTTGTAGATGAACAAATATTACCTAATAAATATGCCGATATATCATAAATTTATATATAATTTGAGCCTAAACCATATTGCATGAGACTTGTCTTTTAACAACAACTTATTATAAATTAACCGTAGTCCAATATATATTGTAAATAGATAGACAAAATTAAAACACTCTTCGGTTCCCTTAAGAGCGCAACACAGTCCTTTAATTTTATCTGGAAGACCTGATGGTTCACTAAGGATAACGCAGCGACCTGTATTATACGCAATGATTGGTAATAAGGTCGGTACTAGGTATCTCTGAGTGAAAATGTTGATGTATGCATCAATGAGCGCCCTTTTAACTTTATACCTAGTTAAATAGCCGATAGATATGGTTACAGATTTCGTGACCTTCATTTATCAGACGTATGTCACACTAAATTATCATCCAAGACATTATATGTTTATATTGCAGTATATTGCATTTGGAGCAGTGTGAATTTGCAATTAACTGTTTAAAGACAATTGCATTCAAAAGAAGTCAGTGTATACATATTTGTGTAAATATAGTGTATAGTGTATATATTTATTGATCTACTGTAGTAGTGAACCCATACTTTTTTGGAAATGACGAAGGTATCACAGAAATAGACGCGAAATAGAGGATATGGATGTGAAAGAGCTGTTGCTCACACAGAATAACACAAGTCGACACAACTCGTGCTGTTTTCCCTTTTTTGCCATTTGAAATTACCGGA